GGACTCCAGGATCATGACCTGAGCCGAAGGCAGTCGCTTAACCAACTGAGCGACCCAGGCGCCCTAAAATCTTTAAAAAAAAAAAAAAAGCTTACTTAAAAAATAAGGGGCACCTGGGTGACTCAATCAGTTAAGCATCCAACTCTTGATCTTGGCTCAGGTCCTGATTTCATGGTCATGAATTTGAGCAATGCATTGGGCTCCACGATGGGTATGGAGCCTACCTAAAAATAAATGGGGCACCTGGGATTGTCAGTTAGTTAAGCATCTGCCTTCGGCTCAGGTCATGATCTCAGGGTCCTGTGACTGAGCCCCATGTCAGGCTCTCTGCTCAGCGGGGTGTCTGCTTCTCCCTCTCCCTCTGTGCACGCTCTCTCTTTCAAATAAATAAATAAAATATTTTTAAAAAAATAAATAAATAATTATTTTAAAAGAAAGCATTTAAAAATTAAAAAATAAAAGAAGGATGTAATTTCCTTTTTCAAATATCACTAACCTCTGTTACAGGCATTGGAGATATTTCAGGGAACAGAATAAACAAAAACTCTACTCTTGTAGAACTTACATCCTAATGGAGGTTAAATGAGTAAAATGTGTAATGCATTGAATAGTAATAAATGCTTTTTAGCCTGTGTTGTTCCTGATTTTATTTATTTTTTTTAATTTATTTATTTTTATTTAAATTCAATTAACATATAATGTATTATTGCTTTCAGAGGTAGAGGTCAGTGATTCATCAGTCTTACATAATACCCAGTGCTCATTACATCACGTGCCCTCCTTAATGTCCATCACGTAGTTACCCCATCCATGAATAGTGATAAATAATAAGAAGAAAAAACATAAAGCAAGGTGGGGAGATGTGAAATGTCAGAGAGCTGCTGAAATTTTGATAGGGTATCCTGGGAAGGCCTCATGGAGAAGGGTCTTTTGAGTGAACATCTAAAGGAAATGAGGGAGCCAGCCATGTAGTTATTTGAAGGAAGGGGGAAGAGCAAATGCAAAGGCCCTGAGGCAGGAGCATGCCTGACACAAGCGACAACAGTACGGAGCAAATGCAATTACGGGGAGAGTGACAGGAGGTGAGTTAGATCAGTGAAGCCCTAGTGGTCATCATAAGGACTTTGGCTT